ATTATGAAATAAGACTAAAATTTATAATAATTTAATTTTGTTAATTAGTAAGTATGTTAATAATAGCATTAATAATAGAATTAGAAAGAACAAGTCATTGTAAAAATTTTTGAAAAAGAGTAAGATTAACAGAGTTATATGTTTTGCTCATATCTTAAGATAAGAGTCAAATTAGTTTGTAATTGTATAATGCATCTTTAATAAGGTTATTAAGTATGTGAATTAGTATAGATATGCTATTGTTAGATAAAGCAACATAGTTGTATAATGAAAGAATAAGATATTAAGAAAATACAATGCTAATTCTAGTAATAATAATTTTTGTATAGACTTTTTGAATATGTTTAATGAGACTTATAAGGCAGATAAGATTTAAGTATTTATTGAATATATTATATTTTAAAATAAGATAGATTTTACTATATTTTCATTGTTTGAAAATTTGACTTAAATTAAGGCAATGGTTAAATAAAGCTGTGATAACTTAAATATGGATAGTGCCTATAAAATTCTAATATTTTTTAAAAAAACTATATTTAATAATAATTATTTTAAATATTAATATTTTATATTATAAGCAATTTTTATTATATATACTTTTATAACTTTTACAGTTTAACTAATTAGATGTAAAAAGTTATATTAATATTTGTTTTGCAAATATTAAAGTTAATATCATTTTAAAGTTAACTGTTGTTTTAGTTTCTTAATTTAAGTTTTTTTTATTATATTTAAAAATTAGTTGATATCAAAAATATTCTAAATTAAAATTATATATTATAGTTCATATAAATTAAAAATTATCAATTTAGTAATTAAATTTGAAAAATTGGCTTGATTAATATTTTCTTTTTTTTTAAAAAAAAAGTTGGATTTTAAAGTATATAGATATAGATCAAGATTTTTATATCTATACTTATTTATTATATTTTATATTTATTTATATACTTATAAATTTATCACTAATCAGTATACACTATTCTAAATATCCTTTTTCTATCACAATATCTAATAATTACACTTTATATCACAACCTTTTTATCATATTTTTTATTACTTCACTTATATATCATCTGATTTAGTTCAATACCAATATATTTTCTCTTTATCTTTACAAATCAGCAAATGTAATCTGCTAATATCTCTATATGTTACTAAATATATCATACTTGATATTTTAAATAAATATGTTTCTGGTATCTACTATATATATTTCTAAAGTTTTAAGCAGATAACTTTAAAATTTGCTAAGAAAATTAACAAAACAAGTCTTATAGCTATAAATAATTTTAAAATTTATTTTATACAAAATTTATGATATTTTTATATTTTACTAAGAAAATCTCTTTTGATATCTTAATTAAATTTATACTTTATAAAAATTACATATATTCTAAAAATATTAAATTTAATTTATCTATTCTGATAAAGAAAATTAATAAATACCTAAAAAATATTATGTTTCAACAAAGGTTTTCTTACTATTCAATTATACAAGTTAATACTAATACTACTAAAAAATTACTTGATTGGTTTCACTTATTCTATCAATACTAAAAATTAAGACTAAGTATAATTTTTTATATTATTCGATTTATAAGTTTTTAACTTTATTAAACTATTTTTTCAAAATTTTTATCCATGTTAAATTCAAAAAAATAAAACAACCAATCAACAAAATACCAAAAACAATTTTAATAAACTTTTAAACGATATAACTTTATAAAAATCATAATTCTTAACTGAACTTATTTATCAAAATATATCAAATATTCAACTTATATCAAATATTCAACTTATCAATATATTACATAATTATTTTTTGCTTATACTTAGAAATATTCTATTTAATTTTACTACTATTCTTTTTACTAAACTTATTTATAAAAAATATTTCATTCATACTATTTTTTACTACTATAATCTATTTCTAAATGTTTTCAAATAGTAATCAATTTTGTCTATTTTCATCTTTTTCTATATAACAAATACAAAACTATTGATTATATCAAATTTTCTGAAGATCTTGATTTCAAACCTATTCAGATAACTCTTTATTTTAGTATAATATTTAATGAAATCAATTTTTTGTTTATAAAAATTAAAAATAATACCAAATATAATATTTATATTACATTTGATATTTTTACTAAAATATTTTCTATATTTCTTTTTTTAAAATATAACAAACATTACTTGATCAATAATTTTCAAAATGCTTTAATTCTTATAAAAAACAATTTGGTCATATTAATGAACAAATAGTTTATAATTTCATTAAATACTAAATAATTATTTTCTTTACAATTGAACTTAAAAAACTTCTTTTAAAGACTTATTCTTTTTTTACAGTAAACTTATTACAAGAAAGAACTACAGCTTCAATTAAAGCTTCATTATATTATATATATACATATACAAATAATGAATGTGATATTCTTCTTCACAACATCTCATATATTTTTCATAATCTGACTTCTTTTTATTTTCAAAACTCTTTTAAATTCTCTTCTATTTCTTCTAATTATATTTATCCAAACCTAGACTTTTCTATCTTTAAACAAAACTAATCTTTAGCCACAACTTTTACCAAACCTTTTTTTATTTAAAACTCTTAAACAACTTGTTAAAACTACTAAATAACAATTTATTTAACTTAATAATACATTTACAAATTCTAAATATAAATTCTTTTTTTATTACATTTATAGTATACTAAATACTATTTAAATATAACAACAAAAAATGATAATATCAATAACTATAATCTTAAAAATATACTTCAAAATACTTTTACTAAAACTACTAATTCACATACTTTTGCCTAAATAATAGTATATTTTAATATTATATAATTTTTTAATAGTCCAATTTTTAAACTTCAATTTAAATACTACTAATCTTATTTACTACAAGCAATGCAATATATTTTTAAAAAACTTAATATACTAAAAATCTCTACAGATCTTTTTTTTTAATTTAAAGTATCAAAAATACCAAACTTTCTTTTTTTTAAAAATTCTTAACTAAACTATTTTTTAAAAATTTTTTAAAACTTGATTTCAAATAATAATAATATTAATAAACTTTATTTTATTTTTATAACATAATTATTATATCAACTATAATTTTCTTAATCCTATTATCTTAATTAAAATGTATATATTTATATAAATAACTAACAACTTCTTATATTTATACTAAACAAATTACATATTATTTATACTTTATAGATTTCTTATAATGTACTTATACAATTTAGGTTAACTCTATCTAGATTTGTATAAGTATAACAAATCTAAGTAGGCTTTAACCATTCTAGTTAGTTTAGATTATAGATAAAATTATCTAAGCTTTAATTTTTGCATATAGTTTTTATTTTGTATTATATATCTTAATATTTAGTATATTAATATATACAACAAAAATTACCAATAAAGATATGAGCAAGGTCTCATCTTAATATCAAAAAAATCAAATATAGATTAGAAAATTATATAATTATGTTTTTGATTATTAGTTATACTAATGTTTTTTATTTAGACTGTTACATATTTTAAAACATAACACTTGTTAATAAAACTTAAAGTTCTTCTTGTTAACTACCTATCTATTCTACAGATTATTAACAAAAATTTGTTTTTATAGAGTTTATTTATATATAAATATTTATTTTATAGTATATTTTTAGTACTTTAATATATATCTACTTTGTTTTTAGACTTTCAATCCAAATAGCTTAGAAGAATTGTAATCTGTCTTTAGTATATTAAGTTCAGTCTAATATATTTTTTCTTTAGTTCAAACCTAATAGCTTAGTTAGTAATACTTTTTATTTAAAGATTCTTAACTGTCTAATTTCTCTATATTGATATCTGCTTTCTAAATCTAATCTTTATAATAATACTATTAAAAATTTATGTTATCTCTTTACTTAGGTTTTTCTTAAATAAGCTTTAATTTTTTCTAGTTTTACAGATTTATATAATTACAAAAACTTATTTTAAATTTGCATTCTTTAGTATTAGTTTGCATTTTTTTATATAATTAAGATTATACAGATATTTTATAACCTGCCAATTATATTGGTATAATTATAGTTACAAATATTTTATTCCAACTGATCAATAAAATAACATTACTATAATACAATATATTGATAAATTATTATCCAAATTTTTATTATTGGTAAATTTTGAACTTACAACCTACTACTTGAATAATTAACAACTTATTTACTTTACTAAGTCATTATACTTCTAAGTAATTTATTAATATTAAAATAAAAATTTATTATTTTTTTATTAAATTTATTATTTACTTATATACAAGAAAATTACAATGCATTTATAGTTAAAAAAAATTAATACTTCAAGTTTTTTAAAAATATTTATTTTAAATATTATAATGTAGAACATTAACAATACACTTACTATAACAAATCAAAAAAATTGCCAAATTTATATGATAAAGTAAAAACAAATTTAAAATATTTTAATGATATAATATTTGTACTATTATAAAAAATAAAATAAAATAAATAAATAGTTTAAAACAAAATTGGTAGTAATAACAATTCTTTATTCTTTTTCTTAAGTTATAAAGAAACATTATTTCTTTTTTTGAATAATAAAAACATACCAATTCTTTTTTTAAATTATAAAAATATACTATTATATTTATTTAATTACAAAGAAATACTATCACTTTCTTTAAGTTACAAAAATACATTATCTTATTCTTTAAGTTATAAGAATACATTATCTTTTACTTGCATTTTGATAATACATTATCTTTTTTCTTAAATTATAAAAATGCATCATTCTTCTCTTTGAGTTAAGAATTCTTTCTTTCAAGCAATGAAGATATGTTCTTTTTAAGTAATAGAAATATACTATTTTCTCCTTTAAGTCATGAAAACAAATCATCCTCTTCTGTAAATAGAATAATGTTATCTAATTCAAATAGTATTAAAAGTAATAAAAATGAAATAATTTACAATGTATATGATTTTGAAAACTGTTGCTCTTAAATTTAAAGATAAGAAAGTAAAAAACCATATTGAGTTTACTATAACAGTAAAAATTGAAGATGAATTAGTTAATAAAGAAAATTTATGCTTGCTAAAATATTTTAAACATCCTAAATATTTTTTGCAGCTTAAATTATTTACGATTTAGGCTGTCTAATAATTAGTTATTTAAATTTACGACAAGAGGAAAATAATTTAGACATGTATAGGCAGGTGTTAGTCTGAGGCACAACATATACATATGACCAATCAAATCGATTAAATTCTTAATAGTAAAGTGATCTCAGTTAATATCTGACATGTCCCGTAATTTAAAAAATTATTTTAATTTAAATTTTGAGAAATTATTATTCGCGATGCATCTTCGCTCTCTAATCAAATAAAATTGAAAACCGAACGGCAGCTGGGTAAGGCGATAATTAAAATTACTTAACGTTGATTTTATGACGATTTTCACGTTACACCTGATCCAGCACCCTGATTGGTCGATCTATACGTAATAATGCACATTTCTCAATCTATTTAATAGAGATGTAAAGTTTAATTTTTTGTCTTGGAAAATTATTAAACTTTCGAGGCAGTCGGGCGTCTAAAGCTATAATAGTATTAAAAAGGGATAAAGCTATAAAAATAAATAGTGAAAAATCTATGAAGGGCAAGGATTCATTTTGATATTATGGAAATGGCTTATTAATTCTAGCACAAGTTTTCGGTTTGATCTTTTTAAATCTCATCTGGTTTCATTTTTCATGAAGGTTTCGTCAGATTTCGAACTTCCTTAGTTCCAATTTTAAGATTCGTCTTCAATCAGAGGGATTTTGGGGTTTGCCAGGGGTTCGCCTTTTGTCTTTCGTCACCTTTAGGTTGTACCTTCCGTCACTATTCAAGAAAGGCTTCGTCTAACGACTATGCTTCAAATATTCTCCGCGCATCCCTTTCATTCGTTCCAAAATATGGATGGACTATTGAATCTTTATCACACGGTGCAAATTCACTTGGATATCCTTCCGTTTCTCATGGATTATTTCCCAGAGGTGGAATTGAATTAATTGACTGGTTTTTAGAAGATAGTCGTAAAAAGATGGTTGATGACTTGTTTGATAAAATGGATGGGTTTGTTACTTTATTATTATTTTTTTTAACATATATGAACTTATTAGTATAATTTTGAAAATTTCGTGACATTTGTATAAAGATTAAAAGTTCATCAGAAGATTCGGTTAGCATGTATAACTCGGCTTAATTATACTAAGCCATACGTGAAAAAATGGTCAGAGGTAAAATAAATTAAAGTAGTTATTCTTAATTCGTGATCCGCGTAACAATCAGTGACCATATGTAGCAAAATTTATGAAATTTAATTATTATTTTTAGATATAGGAATTTGAACTGGCAGTGCAAATACTAAGTTTTTTTTTACTGTTAACCTCTTTTTTACTTCTAAAAAAATAATAGTGGTGTTAAAATCGCTAAAATTGATTTTGTGGATCATGAGATATTGTCAAAAAACCTTTTGCAATCATATAAAAATACTGTGTAAACAATATTATTATTGTTTTCATAGTGACTTTTATGATTGCAAAAGTTTGTTGACAATATATCAGGATCTACTGAGCGACTTTACCGGCATTATGATTGTAAAGACTGCCTCTACAACTTTTATTAGAAGCAGAAAAGATGTTAACATAGTAAAAAAAATCGGTATTGCACTGACAGTGCCAGATTCTCAAACTTTTTTTATAAAAAACCAATTAATTTAACCCCAAATTTACTATTTATGGTCACTGGTTGTTACACGGATCACGAATTAAGTATTAACACTCTAAATTAAAAGTTCTGAAATTTTAATTTAGGCGCTTGCAGTAATGGCACAACCTTATAATGTTCAAACTTCAATTGAACATCTTGCAAAGTTAGTGGATGATATGTGGTATTTGGCTGGTGATAAAAGTGCAGACGTTAGTAATGTTATAATATACATGGGTATCAAAAATGTTACGGTCACGGTTGGCATCAAATTGATTAATTATGGAATCTTTACATTTTATCGTGGCAATGCTTCATTATATTGCAGTATTAATATGACAATGCAGAATTGTGCTTGTAAATTAATTTTGATATTAACTATAGGCACCCAGTGTGTGTAAATAAATATAGTGCTATAATTTCTGATACCAAGTTAATTAATTTGCACTATAAAAGGACTATCCGTAATATTTTGATATCATATAGATGCATAATATTAATATTATTTATTATTATTAGATGAATTGGTATACTAAAAGAGGAAGTCTTGCAATAATATATTCTTCTACAGGTAAAAATTGTTTAGATATTTAATAGCATTTATTTATTTTTAATTAATTTTATATTTATTAAATTAGAATTATACATGATGCAAGACACATCTCCAGATTATACTGGTACATTTCAATTTTTAGATCGAAGATTACAAGATATTGCAACTTTTGGACAAATTGTTGGTGAAATGGATACTTTTGCTGGGTTTGTTTCAAAAAGTTTGGTCGGAATCCTTGCTTCGGTAATGTGTCTTTTTTTTTATAAATAATTGTTGATTATTCTATAATAAATAATAACTTTTTTGTACATGTTTGCTTATAGAAAGGAATCAGTAGATTCTGATAAAAATGCAATGTCTTTCAAGAACAATTGTAATTTTCATAATAGCAAATAAATTATTTTTTTTAAGACTTGATACAGACTATTGAATTGCAAAATAATTATATTATGTTAAAATAAATATAACAATCAAGTAATTATGTTTTAATAGAAGAAATTATTTAAATTTATGTTAGATTAGCAATATTAATGTGTATAGTGTATATAATTTTTGGTATATGTTCACTAATTTATAAGATTCAGCAAATTAATTTGATTTTTTTTAATAATTATTGAATAGATTTATATCTTTGTTATGTTTGCAATTAGGAATGGCAAGTGTAATGTCAAAAAATCATCAGAGTAATAATTTAATTAAGTGATCTGTAAGTTGCAGCATATAAAATTCATAGGTTTTGTAAAACAAAACAGTTTTCACTTTAAGCTAACATTTATATCTTACAATATAATTAGTATTCTTTTTTATAATAAAATATTTTTTGTTGTTTCATATTTTTATGTTTTAAATTTTTTTCTTTTATGGCAAAAATTTTTATTTATATAGTAATATGTTTAAAGTTTTTTTTTTTGCTTTTACTAAGGTTTTTAGTTATTAGTGATTACTGCTTTTATTATAATTACATAACTTGTACAAGATGAGTATGCAACTAACCACATATACAGCTTTTAACTATCTATTTAAGTAGTCCACCCATAGGTTCTACACTAGCTGCCATATTTGTAATCTGCTAAAAAAGTATTTAATTAAATACTCTAATTCTTATACTATGTCTAACAAATAATCACATAAGTTCTTGTATATCTAAATGCTATTTAACCTAATTTTGACCTTCTTGTCTGTACATCTGTCAAGTTATTACATATTTCAAAGTACATTATCAGAGCCTTTTTGCTAACTAACTACATATATTTAGTACTTATTAACAAGGCTTACCTTTGTAAAATTTATCTAGACTCCAGTATCTACTTTATAGCATATTTCTAATACTTTTTGTATACTTTTGCTTTTGAAATCAGATTTTCAATTCAGATAGTTCAAAAGAACTGTGACCTGTCTCTGATGTACTAGAATTATAATATCTAATATTCTTTTTCTTTAGTTTAAAACTTCTGATAATCTGATTAATAGTACCTCTTACTTAATATTCTTGTTTGCCTAATTCTTCTACATTGTATTTATTCCTAGATCTAGATTTATAATAGTATTGTTAAAGATTTGTATTATCTTTCTACTTAAGTTTTTTTAAATAGACTCTAATTTTTTAATTCTATAGATTTACACAGTTACAAGAACTTATCTTGAGTTTGCATCACCTATTATTAGTTTGAATTTCTCTGTATAACTAATTATATAGATATTCTATAATCTGTTAGTTATATGATGCAACTATAGTTACAAATATCTTATTCTAATTAATTAACAAAATGTTATTACTGTAATACTGTCTATATATTATAAATTATTGTTCAAATATTTATTATTAATGAGTTTTGAACTTATAATCTACTATTTGAAAGATTAACAACTTATCTACTTTACTAAATTACTATCATATTTTTGTTTAAAGTTTTAATAATTTATTTTTTATTTTAATTCAAAGATTAAAAACATACTACAATATTAATAATGAAAACAAGTCTTTTAAAAATATTATAGAATTTTAAAAGATAATAATTCAAAAATTAAATTTTATTATATAATATATAGAAAAAAGGTTCATTGTATAAATTGATCAAAAAAAATTATCAGTATTACATTACATGACTTCTAATTTTTAATTAACTCATTTATAAATTTATTTACTAAGAATTAAGAGATGTAATAACTTAGTAAAATAAATAAGTTATTAATTCCCAAGTAGTAGGTAGTAAGTTTAAAACCTATTTATAATGAAAAATTTAGATAATCATCTATGTAATATATAGACAGTATTATAGTGATAGCATTCTGTCAATTAGTTGGAATAGAATATCTGTAACTATAATGCATCAGTATAACTAGCAGGTTATAAGATATCTGTATAATATTAAGATTATACAGAAAAATGCAAACTAGTATCAGATAGTGCAAGTCTAAGATAAATATTTGTGGTTATATAAATCTGTAGAACTAAGAAGCCAGAGTCTACTTAAAAAGACCTAAACAAAAAGATAGTATAAATCTTTAATGATACTATTATAAAGTCTAGACCTAGAAAATGAATATTAATGTGAAAGAAATCAGGTAGGCAAGAATCTCAGATAAAGTGTACTACCAACCAGAATGCCAGAAATCTTGAACCAAAAGAAAAGTATCTTAAAGAGCAGATCCTTAGGATATTAGAGACAGGTTACAGTTCTTTTAGACTATCTAGATTAGGAGTCTAAGAACTAAAGCAGAATATAATTAAATACTAAAGATATATTATAAAGTAGATACTAGGGTATAAGTAAATTTTGCAAGGGCAAGTCCTGTTAACAAGAATTAAATGTAGGTAGTTAGTTAGCAGAAGGGTCTTCTGGAGCTCTACAGTTAGGTAATATATTCTGAAATATATAACAGCTTAACAGATATATAAACTATATTAGGTTAGATAGCACTTCAATATACTGTATAGAAACTTGTGTACTATCTATTAGATATAGTATAAGGGTAACTTTGTACAAGTTATGTAATTATAATTAAAATTACAATAAAGGCAGTAGTCATTGATAACTAATGGGCTTAGTGAAAACAAAAAAAAAATTTTACTAAGAATTGTTTTTTTTTTTTTTTTAAATATTAAGGTGAGTATTTGCAACCCAGGATTTTATTGATAGTATATTTGGCTAATGGTTGCATTACAACTACAGGGGGCAACCATGGAAAGAGTGTAC